TGCACTGAGTATTTAATCGATACAATTAGATTTTCTTTAAGGAATTAAATCCAACGTCTGGATAAATTGCACAGTGTGTGTACGAATATTTTTTGAAGATGATGATGATGATAACAATAGTGCAGCTAAAACCTTTGAGCTACGTCAATGTCTATATCACAGATAATAATATTCAGTAGTAATATTAACTCTTCATCGGTATCTTAACATATAACCTATAATCTACAGCTTTACAAAAAATCAAAAGAAACTTGCAGTGGGTTGCCGTGTGCTGATTTAGTAACCTCTTCGTGCGACTACACAGTCAGTATCATTATGTGTACATGTCCGTCTGGTTAACTATGAGTTGAAGGTCATGGCACACACTGTCCACAAGTGACACTGCCCTCAGCTGGCTGAGGATCAGGCACTGCTGCTGCACTGGGGTAGGCGAGAGAGGCACTGTTGCTTCTCTGGGACGCAGCTGAACACAGCATAGTTAAGTGTTTAGTCATCCGTCCGACGAGCGGACACACATAAGCACTATACACATCTCGGGCCCGTTTTGCACCACTGCACATCACTGCTGCGTAAGTGCTGCTTGAGTACTAGGTCAGCTGTGCGCCCGTGGCTCAGGAGGGAGCTCACGCGGGTCAACTGCCCCGCCCGAGTGCGGTTCGAGAGCTTCGGAGCAGTCCCGGTAGAGAGACAGCATTCAGATGGCACAGCGGGCCGCGCTGGTACCCGACCAGACCCGAACGACAGGCGGGAGGCAGCATATCCTAGTTGTGTCGCACTAGACTTGGGAGCGGACGAACCACGGTTTGGCAATTGGACGCAGGACGCCGTGCGCTGGTCCAGTTCAACAGGCACTCGATCGGATCCGAGCGCTGTTTACGTCGCGTAGAAGCGACCCGGCGGGACCAACACGCGCGAAGCCCGGCCTAGAAGGAGAGCCGGGCTGGCGGTTCGGAGAGCATTGTAGCAGTGTGGCGGCGTGGCGGTGATGTAATGAAGTTGATCACTGGATGAAGCTCTGGTCCAAGCGGGGCAGCTGCGTGTGCTGGGCTCTTGCCTCCACTGGACGTGGAGTGGTGTGTACCAGCAGTGCCCTTGATGTGGTTGGTGGTGGCGTGGGTGGGAGGGGCGCCACCCCCCGCTCGGGGCCACGCTGCCCCTCGGGGATCCCCACAGCTGGCCAACACGTCTCATTTGACTCACAAACGAGAAGGTTCACTATGATGGATCCCCCGCCCGACCGCACCCGCCTCAGCCGCTTTCATCCTCCGTTCCTACTGCTGTCCTTGCTGGTGCTGCTGCCAGTCCTGCTGCTGCTGGAGATAGTGGTGCGTGTTGTCCGCCAGCAGGAGAGTGACGCCCGTTGTGCCGCCCCACACACTGGGATCACCTGCCTGTGGGAGGTAATAATATCAATCAGTCAAGGTGTGTCAGAGACTCATCCGAGCGTCACGGCCACACTATAGCAGATATCCTTTATCCTAATCAGTAAACTTCACACACTAGCCTTTTTATCTATTCTTGAGCTTCCTTTTTTTCTGTTTTCCCCTCCTAAACTAGAAATACCCTTTATCTTACAGATATCGTTAACAAAGCCAGACATAATTATATGCTGTCAAGAAGAAAAGGAAACATACACTCCAATTTGATCACATGACGGAAGTACTCGGGGAAAATCAAAAGAAAACATAACACATTAAAATTATTGCCACTAGTTACTCCATTACATTTTCCCACCGCCATTGTTCTTATCTCAGGAATTCTCGTAATTGGTACAATTTTAAAATTTGCAACATCCATTTTTATCCGTGAATTTACCGACGATCACAAAGACACCACTAACACTCACCATCACCCTTACACACAGGCTAAAACAACCTTTTTTCACATATTATAACCTGAATCTTTCATATTTATTACCCTCACACTTGTGCCATCGCGCCTATTACGAAACCGCCTATTCCCCTTTTGTTCGACAGATTTCGCTTTACTATTTACTGCTTTATCGCTCTTCTGGCACACCTAGCGTTGCCGCAGCCCCTACCTCATTTATCTTCATTTTCCAATGTACTCTTTCGTAATGTGATGGGCAATCGAATAAAATCAACGCTTGTATTTCAATTTCAAGCAGCATTTACGGCGACAGATTGAAGAACTTATCTATCAAGCGTGCAATGTGCAATAACGCTAGAGAAACCGCAACTGGTACGCTCGTGTGATGAGACAATCATTCGTGACCCTGTTTTTTTATTTCATTTTTTTTCCTCATTCTTTCTTTTTTCATCACAGCCACGGAGAGTATTTATTTCCAGAGAGTTCTAACCAATTCTCAAAAGTTTCTATCCACCAAAAAATAACCCATCCACACGAGGCAGACACAGTGACATCCACACAGAGCCGCTCACCCGATCACTCTCGACCCCGCTAATCACTCTTCAAGCGGCCAATCACGAGCGAGCGAATAAAAAACGTCCTGAACATCGTTTTAAAACACAGATATTACCCGAGAATTCCGAGAACGGCAGATGACTGAGGTTTGGCAAACGTTTCTCCTTACTATTATTTGGCCGAATACAAAGGCTTCGTTCTTACTTTTACTTTAGCATATGTGATCACATGTGTGTGTGTGTGCGTGTGTGGGTTTGTAGACTATGTGAGCGGGTGAATGTGTGTGTGTGTGTGTGTGTGTGTGTGTGTGTGTGTGTGTGTGTGTGTGTGTGTGTGTGTGTGTGTGTGATTGTAGACTATGTGAGCGGGTGAATGTGTGTGTGTGTGTGTGTGTGTGTGTGTGTGTGTGTGTGTTTGCGTGTGTGTGTGGTCCCGACACAGCAGTATAGTAGTAGTACGTGAGCAAGCGTGTAGGTACGTGAAGCCGCCCTGCGAAATTTTAGCGTCAAATAATCACACGCAAGATGGAGGGAAGAGGAGAAGCAGTGGTTAAAGCCGAGTAGATTTATACATGCAGGCTAATATTGGCAGTTTGTTGCATTGCAAGTCGTTAGTTTCTTACCAGACCTTCATTATATGCCGTGCTATTACTCCCGAGCTGCGTCACACCGCTGTGTTCACCGCATCACCGTATTCTTCGCTGTGGTAGTTTCACTGTGTATTCACCGTATCACTGGGCTAATGCTTTGTGTACTGATGACGCAATTTTCCCCGTACATACACTTGCATGTTTTCCCTATCTTTACGACATTCTAGAGCTCTTTCTATCATGCTTTCTCTATTTCTCTTTCATTCGCTTTCTAATTCTTTCTGTCTGTCTTCTTTCTTTCTCTCCTCCTCTTTCACCTTCCATCCTTTCTCTCTCTCTCTCTCTCTCTCTCCATCCGTCTCCCATTCCCTTATTCCTCCCCTCTATCTTTCACCTCCCTTCCCCTGTGTGTACACTGCAGTCTTTTAAACCAAGCACATTTGCCACCTTGTTCAGCGGCGGAATGGCGGTTCACAACAAAGCAAGGGCGAGAGCAGTTCCACTACCCGTTGGTGGAGGACTTAACCGCAACGCCAACCTGCCCGACGACCATGCATGTCACGAATCAAGCTTTCTCGGCGGCAAACCCATCACTTGAAAAATCACTATTTCAATATATATATATATATATATATATATATATATATATATATATATATATATATAGAGAGAGAGAGAGAGAGAGAGAGAGAGAGAGAGAGAGAGAGAGAGAGAGAGATACACACTCACACACACCACACACACACACACACACACACACACACACACACACACACACACACACACACACACATATATATATATGGGATATTGATAGATACAGATATAGATGTTTATGTGTGTGTAATAATAATATAAATAAACGTGTGTGTGTGTGGATACATTATGTGTGTGTGTGTGTGTGTAAACTAAAATGTATGGATACAAAGACACACTTGGAGAGAGAAAGAGAGAAAAAGAAGGAGAGGGAGAGAGAGAGCGCGAGAAATAAGGTGAGGGAGAGAGAGAGAGAGCGAGAAATAAGGAGAGGGAGAGGGAGAGAGAGAAAGAAGGAGAGGGTGGGGGAGAGAGAAACACCTTCGGCACTCGCTCCGATCACTCGAAAATGAGTGAAACATTGTGGAGAGAAGAGACAATGGCGCGACTTGGCCATCACAGTCGGTGACAGAAACACAGACGCGCAGCCAGGCTTCCACTGTCTCTTTATTCTCAACCTCTTCTGCGCTCGCTCGCTCCTCGCTCACTTCACTACATGTCTGTCTGTATATGTATATGTGAGTGTTCGCTGCATATTTTCCCCTTTTTGTAATATATATATGGTTGTTTACATACATGCACACATACGCGCGCGAACACACACACACACACACACACACACACACACACACACACACACACACACACACACACACACACACACACACACACACACACACTACAACAAACAAACAAACACACTTCTCTTCATACATTTCTCAATATCCTATTCACATATTATTACATCTAAGAACATTACAACACAGTTCTTCATTGTCCACCGATTCCTCATATCGGTTGACGAAACTAAATCAATAAAGATTAGTTAGCGAAGAAGGTCTAGCGATAGCCAAAAGAAGCCGGTTTATGATCATGATAATGTGTCCTAATGACGACGGGAATGCTTCACAATATATAAATAACTCCTAATAATGAACTTTTATTACGCCCATCACCTCTACAAACAATTATACCGCCTGTATATACACTTGAATATGCAGCAGTCTTTCCCATTTTACACCGTCCTTTCCTCTTGATTAGCGCTCATCCCTCTGTTAAAACTCATGGCCTTGTCCGATTCTTTCTGAACCTAACCGCAGGAGATTGCCCGCGAGATAACTCATTTCTTCAATCAAAGTAGCCTTATTGTTTCTATCTTTTGTTTATTCTTAAAAGTGATCTCGCAGTCAGTAATAGGGGTTTCCTTACACCATAGACGTTGCTTTTTACTTTACGAACTTTGAAATGAACTCTTACAGAATATTATATGACTTTTAAAAAAATAAAACGCAGATTATAATGAGCGGTTGGTTCCCTTATATTCAGAGTATATCGTTAAGTATACACAGTTCAGTTTTAGCAACGTCTTTTTACAGCTTTTGTGAGTTTGTGAAGTGTATATTGTTGCATTTGAGCAGCTGGGTGTTATAAAGTGAATGTGTCAAATAATTTTCTCTCGTTTTATCACACGCACTTACAGACGCACATGTTGACAGACACGCACATGTACCGACATTAACACACACACACACACACACACACACACACACACACACACACACACACACACACACACACACACACACACACACACACACACACACACACTCTTTCTCTCTCTCTCTCTCTCTCTCTCTCTCTCTCTCTCTCTCTCTCTCTCTCTCTCTCTCTCTCTCTCTCTCTCTCTCTCTGCATAAAACAGCAATGGTAAATAAAAAGGAAAGAAACCGCAAAACCGACAGCCATTGACGTTATATTACTCTAAATGTTTCCCATTAGTAAACCTGGAATTTTCCACAAGTCTCACATTTTCTGAAATATCCGCAACAACTTCCAGCCGGAGCGAGGACGTTTCACCGCAGCGTTAAATGAACTCTTTTCTGCGACAAATCATCACAAGGAGAAACCTAAATATGTAACACTAAACAGGCAACGTTAAATTATCAGGGCACTTAACTCTCTTACAATGCGGCAGTAAAGTCTATCATGGCGTCACTAACAGCACCTCACAACCCGACATTAGCATACCCTCTCGTCCGCTTAATATAAACGTCACAATTAAGTGTTATCGTTGGATGCTAATTAATGATGGCAAAATCCAAACAAAATCCACTCGCGCGAATTCGGCTCCTGACAGCGCGCCTCGACCGCATACCGGAGTATTTGTTACCTTACGGACGGAGTTTTATCCTCGTAAAGCAGCTTCGAAACAAGGCTGCTCGTCTGAATATTTCTGGACAGGTATTTACTCTGTTCAAGGATGCGCGTCCCGGGGCATCATTAGCACCAGCTCAGGTAACTACGAGGAGATTTTATATTACAGTCGGAAGCTCAGCTGACAGAAACGAAGTAAATAACGATGTGAAAACTGTTGGGAGTATGGTGTAGCAGTGCCCTTATTTATCTTACTATCTCAACTCCGATCACCACCCAAAACTTGGGACAAGTGACCAGAATCTGAGAGTAGAGTGTTCATGTCCATGCTTTCTGACTTTAGGTATGCTTTGTTTTCGACACTAATTGAGATCCCTTCTCTTGAAGTGAGCTGAGATTATAAAAAAGAATACTATTTTATAAAATCCTAAAGAACCTGCATGATCTATCTTCTATAAACGTAAATATTCGCCTGTAAGTAAATATCCGGCAAGCGATCGAACGCAGTGACTGGGACGCAGCCTCACCTGGCGAGAGCAGTCGCAGCTCCGAAGGTGTCGCAGCCCACACCTGGCATGTCTGACGGATCAAACAGCACTCTCTACTTGAGCTGAATTCCTGCAGTTCCTTTTGGATCGCGTAACCTCGTGTGTAATCCAGGTAGTAATGGCTGGTACTTTTTTTCCCTCGCCTATGTCATTAACGGCAATTAAGCTGACCCCCCCACCGGGTGCGAGCGGCACAGTTCGCATGCAGATGACAACCCTAGAGATGTCCTTGCTTACCTGCTTATTACACTGGCTTCACGACACGTAGGGTCCTGCTGTGACGGGGCCCCCTTGTACCTGCTGCGACTGCTGGCATGGCATCTGCTGCTGGTTCGCCATTTGCGACGTCTGCTGTGCAACCTGCGGCCCACCCTGCTGAGAGCTAAAAGCAGAGCGACCTGTTAGTGACTGGCGTGCGTCTCAGATGTGCTTTTCCATAATCTACATATCAACATATTATCTACATATTCGCAAACTTCATGATTAAAGAAAAAAAAAATCAGCACTATTTTACTATAAAGTCAAGAGAAACCTACGTCTTGTAGACGGGGGTGAAGGCGGTGGAGGGCATAGTCGCCGCTCCTGTGTTGGTGTGAGTTACGCTGCCGGCGTGTGAGGTGGGTCCCTGGTACCGCTGGTGTAAGGAGGCGTCGCCTACGGGAGCCCCGGCGGCTCCTGGTGCGGGTAGAGGCGCCGTGGAGCCCCGGGAGCAGGATGAGAGCCCACCAGCCATGTTGGCGCCGTAGCTGCCTGACGTGGAGCCACCGAGGAAGGCTCCGGCGCCAAGGCCGCCCTGACCTTGCTGGTTCTGCTGACCCTTGGCGTTGGGCGGCGTTTGGGGCGGGGTGTCTGTGCCGACGCCATCACTGAGGGACCGAGAAATTGTATTCTATAAAAATCTACAGTTGACTTTGCTATCTTTATCAAAATTGGTTAACTCGTTGATACATCAAGGACTGTAGAACATCTTTTAGGCTTACCTGTATCCTGCCATATATTGTGCTGGGTTAACTCCGGTCATAAGGTGATTAAACCGTGTGTATTGCTGTTGGGCTGGAGGGATGGTGGGCGGCAGGGGGAATGTGGTGCCACCTGCAAGCCACCCGCTGCCAGGTGGGCCACCCGTAGGCGGGGGAGTCTTGCAAGCTGCTGTGTCGGCTAGAGACCAAATCTTGGGTTTGGCGGAAGGCAGCGAAACCGCACAGTCACTCTGCGGGAGACAGACATCGGGAGGATCAGCGGATTGCCGTCTAGTGCATCGAAGGCGACGCCAAACGAAGTATATATTGCGTATTACGTCATTTATTACGAATGTAGAAAACAGAGTAATGAGATTTTTTCTCTTTTTTATAGTTCAGACATTACAATTAAAGATATTAGTATCTACAAATTTGCTATCGTATTTGTTACACTTAGGAGATAATTTCAAAATTATTCGCATGCAAATCTCATTATTCAATTAAAATTAAAGCCAACACAGATATATCTATCTACTTTGTTCCACATATATTAGGAGCCATCATTAATTCTAATGAAAAATAAGATGAAATCTATAGTAATCTGGTTTAGACTAAATATAAAATCAAACATTCATCGCAAGACATTAAGATTTAATATGTTCTACATCAAATAACCATCATACTCTAAACCAAGCTACCTCCTTAAAAGCTCTAATTACAGATAGGCCTAATGCCATAAAATCGTATAAAATAAACAAATAATTCTAAAATAATCATAATAAATAATAGAAAAAATGAATAACAATCTACATAACTACAAGCAACACCACTAGGCTACACATCACCGTCACAACACCCAAACAGTAGAAAGGGTCACCCACCATTATGCTTACCTTCTCTCCCTTAGGCACGGTGAAGTGGTTGGTGGGGTGGAGTGTGGGTGTGGGGGAGATGGCAGCGGTGACAGCCTTTGTGCCCCCCACCACTCCTCCCTCACACGGCTTCAGCTCCGTCTGGCCTTCTCCTTCCTCCACCTTCGTCTCCGTCACTGGTAAGGAAAGGAAGAAAGGAGATGGTTAGATATGCGGGTATTTTGTTTATGCGAGGTCGAATTCATCTACAAAGAATAATTCAGGTTCGTTGTTATGTGATCCGTGATAAACGCATCTTTTATTTCTATTTTTAATTTATTTACTTATGTATCTATTTATTTTCCTAATGAGAGAGTGCACCACATGGCACGAAAGGAGATGAAAAAAATCACAATTTACTCATCATCCTTTCAAAACCTACAGCCGGTATCTCGACAACACCGGCCACATCATGCCCATCATATTGTATAACCCCGAGCCAACCAGGTAACAATACATGCAAGATGCTGAGGGTTATTACATAAATTATTTAAGACAGTCATTATCTAGCTCGGTAATGCCTGCGCTCAACTGTGCCGTGAGTGACGGGAGAATACTTAGAGATATCAACACCCAGCTGTCAAGTGAGAATGTAAACACCGCTTTGCTTTGAGAAACGCTCCTTGTTTTGCTAATCTGCCTATTTTAGATCCATTCAGGGCGGTTTGTGCGTGTGTCTGCGAGTCAAGATAGTTTCTGAATTCATTGTTAGATTATACGGAAGCGGGGGTTCAAAATAATGTGTTTTCTGCCGTTTCTTCTTTCTTTCTCTTCTCTCTCTCTTCTCTCCTCTCTCTCTCTCTCTCTCTCTCTCTCTCTCTCTCTCTCGAAATGTGTGTGTGTGTACGTATGTATTTACGTATGTATGTGTGTGTATGTATGTATGTATGTATGTATGTATGTATGTGCACCCGGGATACAGCTTCCCTCCAATTCTCTGAGATTTACTGGCTCGAGTACAACACCAAGCGACTAATTTACTCATAAACAGTAAGCGCTCAGGGTGCATAAACCACTGCTGACTAACCGCCCAGCCTGGTCCCGCTGCCTCATTCACTACACCACGGAAGTCTTTATGATGGGCTGTACACTTGTATTTAAACAGGTCCTGTTGTGTATGTGCAACGACACTGCAGATTCGCGTCCGGATAAATATGTGTAACAATGTGTCAGTGGTAAGACCGCGCGTTCGTTTCTCCTTTTCGCAAAATTGGAATCAGGATTTTCTCTTTCTCCTCAGACGCAATGGTACTCTGCCAGACATCACCTTAATATTCCTCTCGCCGTCGCCAGCACAAATTTGTTTGGCCAATTAGGAAAACAAACTGTGAAACTGAAGACGGCACTGACCAGTAAACAGGCATTAAAGTCTAAGAAAAATAAAGGGCATTTAAACTCAAGAGAGCAACAATATCCCGCCGGATCGCCCCAGACATAAACAATGTGCCGGCGCGCTGTTGGGTCACCGGCGCATACGAAATTTCCCATTCATCGCTGCGGCCGCCCCCTCGACACAGCACTCCCGCGAACTCACAGTGGCACGGTATCTTCACAGTAAAGCTACAGGCCACGGTCGTCGAGCAGGCCGCCCTACAATCTGGCGAAGAGGGTAACACAAGCCCCGGCAGAAGACAGTCAAAACAGAGCTCATTCCCGGGCCGTTGACGGACGAACCTAATCTGTCCCGGCGAAGTGGCCCGTGATGCCACCAACAGCTCCTCTTATTTTGCGATCGCACGTTTGTTTAGAGGCGGAGTTGTGTCATTCATTTGTTATCTCCCGCTTCGTTACGTCGGCCTGATATTACCAGCTCCTATATTTGAGTTTACTTTCATTTGCTCAACTCGATTGGGTTTTTTCTTAAATTAGCAGTTGAGCTTCGCAATTGAACATTTTGCGATTTCGCAATTATCTCTGATATGAGGCTAGCATGTCTATAAATTTTGCAAGGAAAGCTTAAAATCGCGGGAAAGACGGTTGACTACCCAGATAATGCCTTTGAGACTGTTTAATCTTCAATGACTCTAGTGACACTTTTATGTGTAGGTTGTACAAACGCATAATTTCCTTTTCGTTCCTCTGTATTTTCGTGTGTCCTTCCTTGTATATGTGTGAGCCGTTCACAATTTACACATAAGGCATGCTATATTTTTCTTCTACAAATGAGCGCATTCTTTTGGGTGAGTTGTTGGTGTAATTTCACAATTAGTGTCTCGCCAGAAAGGGCAAGAAGTCTGAGATTTACCTCTGCCCTTTTTTCCTGCCGTTTATTCTGCTATAAATCCCCCAAATAGTCACCTAGAGGAAGAATAGGGCAGGAACGAGAGCGAGGAGTCCGTCTGCCCGAAATCGGACCCCGAAATCCTCCTGTACATCGCCTCTCATCAGCCTTTAACAGCGGGTGACGGAAACCCTAGGAGCTTTTATCAGTATAATTAGCAAACAATGAGCCATCCCGCCATATTAAACTTCCTCGTACGCCACTCGCCTGATGCAGTGTTTACTCAGTGTAAATCCCGGCGCGAAACTGATGTACGCTGAGCAGAATATTACACGGGATCTGTGATGCCGCGCACTTGTCACTAGAGCCTTTAATCTGGCCCTGTTTACCTTGCTATGACACGGGGCGTCTCGCTGCCAGCCAGCCGGGTATGGGGGCGGGAGAGGGGAGGGGGTCGCTCTCCTAAACACGGGGATACGGAAGGGGAGGGAGAGGGGGTCGCTCTCCTAACACGGGATACAGAGGGGAGGGGGAGGGGTCGCTCTCTCCTAACACGGGGATGGAGAAGGTGAGGGGGAGGGGGCCTATCCCTCCTATGAACCTGCGTCACGGGGGTTCAAAACGGGTTTATTATATATGTGGATGTGCATTACGAGGGAGAGAGGGAGAGGTTTAACCATTCAGGCCACGTGGGGAAACACATGAAGGGGATCAGTGCGTGTAAATATAACTACACGTAAAGATTGTATTTTTCACCTTGAGTATATCTAATGCAATGAAGATGACGATTCTCGTCTTTCTATCTCTCTCTCTCTCTCTCTCTCTCTCTCTCTCTCTCTCTCTCTCTCTCTCTCTCTCTCTCTCTCACTCTCTCTCTCTCTCTCTCTCTCTCTCTCTCTCTCTCTCTCTCTCTCTCTCTCTCTCTCTCTCTCTCTCTCTCTCTCTCTCTCTCTCTCTCTCTCTCTCTACTTTTTCTTCTCTTTCTCCTTGGCCTTTCTTTCTCTCTTTCACTCTCGACGACCAAGCTATACTTTCCGCTTAACACAAAGGGAAATTTCGTACGATCCCTAAAGTTACAACTTCACATTATCCCGAGTAAGGAGCCTCCCTGAACTCGACAAAATTAAAAATATCAAGTCTGCCCTAATTATACCCTGAGCAATAATTTCAGTGTTCGCGTCACCGCCTCCGCTTCCTCGTTTCGCCTCCCTCTGCCAGGTGTTCCACTTGCTTGCTTGCTGGTACAACACCGTAAAAGCTCTTTGATACCACGATGAACAGTTGAAACCTCTTGATGCGAAATTGGCGCCCTAAGCTCGCCTTGATCTTCCAAGCGCTCTTTAATGCTGCTCAAATCATGTTAAACCCTCGCCGATTCGAGAATACAGGATTGGATTAAACTAAAGAGCTAAACAATACTAAGGCCTGTTGGTCCCCGTCAGCAAGCTAGTCCTTGACCACGAGGAACTTCTTATTTCATTTAATGTTTCAAGATACAAATAAGCCACTGTTACTTCGCCGTTTCAAAATGCAGGTAAAACATATACAGATGAGGTTTCTCTCAATGTACGGTCGTATTTCCATACGTACGTGAGCGCAAGTACACACATGGTTATTTTTACGTGTACTTGAGTTTTTTCTTTCTTTTTCTCAAGCCATAACTGATGTCGTCGGAAGTCATGTTCATAAGTCTCCGTGGAGGGTTTATTGTATCCACCAATTTCTCGCGCGGTAAACGAGCATCTACATCTTCCCCCGCAGCATCCCGCGCCAACCTAAACAAGGGAGCCTGAAGCATGGGTAGCATCATCAAAACTGCTTCGCGGTGGCTCCTCGGCTGTCGGCGATGAATGGGTCTCTTAGATTCAGGAAATCCTTGCAAGTTGCACAGAGTGGCGAACAAGTGTCGGACATTTTTCAGCGTCGGCGGCCCAGGCAGTGTTCGATAAACTAGCTCTGCGTGTTGTGTTATTCCGCGGCCTTTTCCCTTTCCGAAGCGATACGATCGCTTCGTATTTTTTGGCGCGCATGTAGGGCGCGGAAAAACAAATGGCAAGATAAATTATCCGCTCCTATGCCCAATCCTCTGATCTATAGTGGTCCGCATACCGCCACTTTTACGAGTAGCTGTAAATGCATCAGTAACACCGTGCTAACAAGTGCAATAAAACATATCTACGTATTTCAGCACATGATCGCGGGGGCCCCTGTTTCACTGCACAATATTTGTCCAACCCTTTTCCACCGCGCTCGTTCCTCTTCCTCACAAGACTTAAAACATGTTTACTGCAACAAACATCGAGAGTGTTGTTTAGGTATGTGCGCAATGCCACCTTTTTACCAAGGGTCTGAACCAAAGCGCCTTACTGAAAAATTGGCTGCTGAGGGCGAGACAAGAGTTACCTTGGGTCAATATTCTTTTCCTAAACTCGGAGTAAGGGTCGTAGGATCGCGTAGTTCCCTTCGATGGGTAAAAATAGCCTCGGGGCTGCAACGCTGATTCGCTTTCGGCCCGCGCCGAGGTGGCATCCCTGTTATTCCGAGAGCTGATGATTAAGGACGAGGGGGAAAAGCGCATTCTTCGCCCCAGATACAAGGCCTACATCCGCGTCCACTTCGGTTTTATGAGCACACATTGCTAGGTCATGAAATTCAGCTTCTCGTAAATCTACAATGATGTAACACGGGTTCGCCCGGCATAAAAAACCCTGTCTTCGAACATTTCCAAATACGCAAAATGTATTACCTCTTGTCCTCGTCGCCTGGAAATCTCGGACAGTCGCCCGCAACCGATAAAAATGCCCGGTGCGACCATATCCGAGCTGCCCTTAGGATTAGTTATTCAGAGGAGTAATATGAATTTCATTTAGTGCCAGAAAATCACAAGGCGGGCGCAGTAGGCTAGATATTTGTGGT